TCAAAGCCAGTACTCTATATGCTGAAATAGCGCATCAGCTATGGCTGGAACTTGAACAACGTTTGGCACAACAAAATGCTCCAAGGATTTATGAAGGTTGTGGAGGACTGAAGGTTGTTGGATCTCAAAGGAAGTATTTCTGTACCTTCTGCAAAATACCTGGGCACTCCCTTGAAAGGTGTTTTAAGGCCAATGTCCTCTTACTGCCAGATACCTAGTTACTCAGCAGACAAATGTTTCAAAATCCATGGATATCCGGTGGGTCATAAATTATATGGAAGGCAATGAACTGCTGGAATCTCTGCAAATCAAGTTACAAATCTTATAGCTACTGAACAGGAGCAAGGAAGTAACAACACTCAAGTCTCTTTAACTCAGAAGCAATACAATCAGTTCATGGCATTGCTCAAGTCACATAACTCTCAGCCTTACACTCCTATCAACCAAGTGCAAACTCTCATACCATCCTCCTCTGATGAAGCAAAGATTTCTGGTATTACTTTCAGTTTATCTACCTCTAAGACAAGGCCTAAAATTCTTTCTGATATCACTTGGATCATGGATACCAGAGCAACAGATCACATGATCTGTTCTCCATCACTCTTCACAGCCATTAACGCATGAGTCTCTCATTCAGTTGCTCTTCCAAATGGAAATACCGATCCTGTAACTCATGTAGGATCAGTCAAGATACAAAGAAATTGCTTCTAGATGATGTCTTATGTGTTCCATTATTCTCATTTAATCTTATTTCTGCTAGGAAGTTAGCTAAATCATCAAGATGCTGTCTTATTTTCCTCCCTGAATCTTTTTTTGTGCAGGACCTTTCAACTTGGAAAATGATTGGAATGCTAAAGTGAGACAAGGCTTATACCACTTACTACAAGAAGAAGTCTCTCCCACAGCCTTAATTGATTCCTTACCTGTTTTTGTTAACAAAATTACTCTGTCAGCCTCTGTCACTATTATTCCTGAAAATTTTGATCTATGGTACTATAGAATAGGACACCCCTTAGATTCTAGGATAGGTCTACTGAATTCTGATCACGTATCCAAGATTGCAAATGCAAAGGAACTGTGTTCCAAACGCCTTTTAGCCAAATTACATAAATTACCATTCAACACAAATCAGAAAATTGTTTTGAACTTATTCATTGTGACTTGTGGGACCTTGTAATGAAGTTGCCTATGACAAATAAAAATACTTCCTCACCATCATAGATGACTATAGCAGATGTACTTGGGTTTCTTTGCTCAAACTCAAATCTGAAGCGTCTGGTGCTCTGCAAGCCTTTTGCAACATGGTAGAAACCCAACTTGAAGTAAAAATCAAAATAATTAGAAGTGGTAACGGTGGGGAGTTTGATATGAAAGAGTTTTATTCAAAGAAATGTATCATATACCAAAAGACATGCGTTCAAACACCCCAACAAAATGCTATAGTCGAAAGAAAGCACCAATATATTCTAAATGTAACTTGAGCACTAAAATTTCAGAGTGGAATCCCTATGAAGCATTGGAATGATTGTGTTTTAATTGCAGTTTTTCTCATAAACAGAACACCAACTCCACTTCTCGATAACAAAACGCCCTTTGAATTTTTGTTTAAAACTAAACCTTGTTATTCCCATCTTAGAGTTTTTGGATGTCTCGCATTTCCTTCCACTCTCACACATAAAGACAAGTTTGATCCAAGGGCTAGATGCGTCTTCCTAGGTTATCCTTTTGGAATCAAAGGATATAAGCTACTAGATCTTGATTCAAACAGAGACTTTGTCTCTAGAAATGTTGTTTTCTATGAAAATATTTTTCCATACAAAACTCAAAACACTATGCCTGTAAGCACCCTTCCAAGACTGGTGATTTAGCTTACTCTCATCCTACTGATACTAATTTAAACTATCCTAGGCAGACCCCTAATCCTTCAACAGAATTAGCTGAAAATATGGAGCTGATTGCTGAGACTTCAAATCAAAATGTCCTAACCGAATATCTGGATTCCTCCCAAAATACCTTCACAACTCCTCATCTGCCTCGCATATCTACCAGGACCAGAAGAGTACCTGCATACTTGCAGGTTTTCATATGCCATCATGCTTCCTCACTATTCCATTCACAAGAGTTGAACAAGAAGAAATGTTCTGTCACACCAGGTGCCCTCTTTCCTTTATTTGCTACTTTATCATATCATAGATTGTCTAACTCACATAAAGCTTTTGTTACATCTATCTCCACACACACTGAACCCAATTCATACCAAGAGGCTGTCAAAAATCGTGAATGGAGAGATTCCATGGTTGCTGAAATAAATGCTTTGGAATTAAATAATACTTAGATTGTGACAGACTTACCTTCCGGGAAAGTAGCTATAGGTTGTAAATGGATTTACAAAATTAAGTGCAATGCAGATGGAACAATTGAGAGATACAAAACTAGACTTGTGGCGAAAGGATACACGCAGCTAGAAGGTCTAGATTACCATGAAACTTTCTCACCGGTAGCAAAAATGGTAACTGTAAGAACCTTGCCGTGGTAGCAATCAAAGGTTGGTTCTTGCATCAACTTGATGTGAACAATGCCTTTTTACACAGAGATTTGGATGAGGAAGGTTATATGGAATTACCACCAGGTTATTCTACCTAAAAGTTTGCAAACTTAACAAAAGTTTGTATGGACTAAAGCAAGCCTCCCGACAATGGTACTCAAATTTGTCCTCCTTCATTATTCAGCAAGGTTTAATCCAAATTAGACTATAGCCTATTCACAAGAAACACGAAAGATTCTTTTACAGGCTATATTGGTGTATGTTGATGACATTATAGTGGCTAGTAGTGACATGGACAACATCAAATTTCTCAAAACCTCTCTTGATGACAAGTTCATGATCAAAGACTTGGGCACTCTAAAATATTTTCTTGGCATAGAGGTCGCAAGATCTGAAAGGGGAATTCATCTTTGCCAAAGAAAATATGCATTGGATTCTTAGCTGATTCAGGGACAATAGGGGCTGTGCCAAGTAAGGTACCATTAGATCAAAATGTCAAACTCTCCAAAGATCAAGGAGAGCCCTTACTCCTTCTATCTATAGAAAACTTATTCGCAAGTCACTCTATTTGATCACCACAGAGACCAGACTTTGCTTACTCAATGCAATTACTTAGTCAATACATGCAAAATACTAGAATACCCCACTTAAATGCTGCTCACAAAGTACTGAAACATATAAAAAGGGCTCAGGTCAAGGACTACTATTCGCTTCAACATCAGACCTGTAGCTTAGAGCTTATAGTGACTCGGATTGGGGGGCATGTTTGGATACACGAAGATCAGTGATAGGATATTGTGTTTTCATTGGTACATCCTTGGTGTCATGGAAATCAAAGAAACAAAGCACCATCTCCAGATCATCAGCGGAAGCAGAATATCTATGGTCAGCGTTTGTTGTGAATTATCATGGCTTACGTACTTGCTACACGATCTGCAAGTACCTCATCCTCAAGCAGCCACATTATCTTGTGACAACCAAGCGGCCATACACATAGTAGCCAACCCTGTTTTCCATGAAAGAACCAAACACATAGAACTTGACTGCCACCTAGTTCGTGATAAAATTCAAGAGGGCACATAGTGAAAGAATATGTGAGAACTAATTCACAAGTTGTCAACATAATGACTAAACCGCTGTGTTCAACCAATTTTTATTCCCATTTGTCCAAGATGGGAGTAGAAAATATCTATTCTCCATCTTGTGGGGGGCTGTCAAAATGTGAGATACAACCAATACCACCAGCAAAACAAACAAGACTTCAACATCTCAGAAAGCTGGAAGAAAGGAAGCTACCAGAAGAAGATGAGCTGGAAGAATTTTTTAGAAATCACACCTAAATTCTGTTAGGGAATCTTTCTATTAGAAATTTTGTTGCAAGATTCTTTCCACTTGTATATAATTACCTTGCACGGTTGCTGTAATATACAATTCATATATTCTCCAATTCAGAAATTAATTCAATACAAAATTCTCCCTCATTTGCTGTGATCCGGCACTTGATAGTTTCTACATTATCAGCATTTCTTATACATGGAGTCTATAGCTCGCTGCTCACGAGTCGGGCGCTAGAGCACCATTGTTGCTGCTCACTATAGCAAGGAACGCCGCTCAAGCGGTCGTGTTATCAAGTTCAGGCTTGATCGTGATTTTAAAAAATTTTAAGATTCCTATTCCATTTGAAACTCTATTATTAGGGTTGTATATGTACACTACGACTTGTTTTGTAGCGACCGAGAACTTTTGAATAATATAAAATTAATTCTCGAGAAACGTGTCGCTCGACTTTAACCTAATTTTTTAAGAAATAGCACGTTCGTCTAGCCGTTATAAAATTGAATTCAAATCTATTCGATTAAATCCAATCTCGAATAATACTTTTATTA